GAATGAAGGGGAAAATAAAGACATTCTCAGATGACAAGAAACAGAGTTTATTGAGACCTACCCTTAAAGAATGGCTAAAGGAAGCTCTCCAAACAGAAAGAAATTAACAGAAGAAGGCTGGGACCTAAGGGAAAGAAGGTAGAGGAAAAAAGGAAGGAAGGAAGGAGGGAGGGAAGGAGAGAGGGAAGAATGGAGGGAAGGAAAAGACAGAAACAACACAATACATAAAAATAGAAGTACAGATGCTCCTTGACTTATGATGGGGTTATGTTCCCAATAAATCCATGGTAAGTTGATTCTAAGTTGAATACATTTAATATACCTAACCTGTCAAACATTACAGCGTAGCCAGGCCTAATTTAAATGTGTTCAGAACACCTACATTAGCCTATAGTTGGGCAAAATTATCTAACATAAAGCCTATTTTATAATGAAGTTTGAATATGTCATGTAATCTGTTGAACACGTACTGAAAGTGAAAAATGGAAATGGTTATATGGGTACTTAAAGTATGATATCTACTGAATGTGTATTGCTTTTGAACCATCGTAAAGTAACAAAAAATCATTTAAGTCAAATCATTGTAAGTCAGGGACTGTCTGTATCTGCTGTCTGCAAGTATATGTTCCTTCAAACATAATGACACACGTAGACAAAGTAAAAGGATAAAGAGTAATATATCATGGAAACACTAATTTTAAGAAAGCAGTACTGAGTATGTTAATATCAGATAAAGTAAGTTCAGAGAAAGAAAATTACTAGGGACAAAGAGGGACATTGTATAATATTAAAGAGATCTCACATCTGTAATCTCAGCACTTTGGAAGGCTGAGGTGGGTGGATCACTTGAGTCCAGGAGTTCCAGACCAGCCTGGGCAACATGATGAAAACCCATCTCTACCAAAAAAAAAAAAAAAATACAAAAATTAGCTGGGCACGGTGGTGTGTGCCTGTAATCCCAGCTACTCGGGATACTGAGGTGGGAGGATTGCTTGAGCCTGGGAGGTGAAAGTTGCAGTGACCTGAGATCACACCACTGCACTCCAGCCTGTGTGACAGAGCGAGACCTTGTCTCAAAAAAATAAAAAAATAAAATAAAAAAATTAAAAAATCGGCCGGGCGCGGTGGCTCAAGCCTGTAATCCCAGCACTTTGGGAGGCCGAGGCGGGTGGATCACGAGGTCAAGAGATCGAGACCATCCTGGTCAACATGGTGAAACCCCGTCTCTACTAAAAATACAAAAAATTAGCTGGGCATGGTGGTGCGTGCCTGTAATCCCAGCTACTCGGGAGGCTGAGGCAGGAGAATTGCCTGAACCCAGGAGGCGGAGGTTGCGGTGAGCCGAGATCGCGCCATCGCACTCCAGCCTGGGCAACACGAGTGAAACTCCGTCTCAAAAAAAAAAAAAAAAAAAAAAAAAAAAAAAAAAAAAATTAAAAAATCAATCCATCAAAAATACATAGCGATCTTTAATGTGTATGTACCAGACACCATGGCTTCAAAATATATGAAGCAAAAACAGAGTTAAAAAGAGAAATAGACAAATCCACAATTACAGTTGGGGATTTTAACAGCCCACCCTCAGCAATTGATCAAACTACTAGATAGAAAATCATCAGGATATAGAAGAACTGGACACTGTCAACCAACAGGACCTAACCGATATTTATAGAACACTTTGCCCAGTAACAGTGCAATACACATTCTTTTGAAATGTCCAGAAAACATTCACCTTGATTTAAAAAACCTTAACAAATTTAAAATAATTGAAATTATAGAGTATGTTCTCTGGACATAATGGCATCAAATTAAAAATTAACAACAGAAAGATAACAGGAAAATTGCCAAACATTTGAAAGTATAGCTAATATAACCTGAGCAGTTCATGGGCTGGATCATGAAAGGCCTGGTCTGCTCTATTTAAATCTCCAGCCCATTATGCAAGAGTAGCAAATCACTGAAGCCATTAAGCTAGAAAGTGATATGGGCATATTTTTGCATTAGTAATACAAGTTGTAAATCACAGGTGCCTGAAATATGGGCAGTAGCTCATATAGAGATTAAGAAATAAAGGCTTGTAGGTTTAAGATCACCCGAAGAGACCATAGCCTGGGCAACAGAGTGACTCTGTCTTAAAAAAAAAAAATTAGGGAGGTGGATAGGAGGAAAGAGAGAGAATGAAGTAAAAGATGACCTCAGGATTTTAACCTGGGTGTCTAGAAGAATGGTTGCTCCTCAAAACTGAGATTAACTGGAATCAGTTAATAATGAATTTGTTATTTAGGCATGTTGATTTTTTCTTTAAGCTTTTTGAGATAACTGTAGATTCACATGCACGTAAGAAATAATACAGAGAGATCCTATAAACTCCTTACCAGATTCCCCCAGTGGTAGCTTGTTACAAAACCATATGGTACGGTATCACAACAAGGACACTGGCATTGATTCAGTCAAGAATCAGAACAGTTTCATCATTGATACATTGGATGTCATCAAAACAAAATATTTTGCTCTGTGAAAGACTCTGAGGATGAAAAGCCAACTTACAGACTGGGAGAAAATAAGTGCAAAGCACACAGCGGCAAAGGACATATCTAGAATATATAAATGACTTTCAAAATTTGCTATTAAAAAAATCAGGCCAGATGCAGTGGCTCATGCCTGTAATCCCAGCACTTTGGGAGGCTGAGGTGGGCGGATCACCTGAGGTCAGGAGTTGGCCATCATCATGGTGAAACCTCGTCTAAAAATGCAAAAATTAGCCATGTGTGGTGGCTCATGCTTGTAATCCCAGCTACTCGGGAGGCTGAGGCAGGAGAATCACTTGAACCTGGGAGGCAAAGGTTGCAGTGAGCCAAGATCGTGCCACTGCACTCCAGCCTGGGCGACAGAGCGAGACTCTGTCTAAAAAAAAAAAAAAAAAAAAATCAGGAAATGAGCAAAAGACTTTCACAGACCTTTCACCGAAGAGGATATACAAATGAGATTTCACTACACACATATGAGGATGGCTAAAGTAGAAAAAGGTGATAACATCAAATGTTGGTGAGACTGGATCACTCATCCATTGTTGGTGGGAATATAAAATGGTGCAGCCACTCTGGAAAATTGTTTTGTAATTCCTTTTAAAACTAAAAATGGACTTACCATACAACCCAGCAATTATACTCTTGGACATTTGTTCCAGGGAAAACATATTTTCATGCAAAAATTTGTACACAAATGTTCAGAGCGGTTTCATTTATAATATTTAAAAAACTAGAAACTATCCCAATGTCCTTTGATGGATGTACAGTTAAACAAATTGTAGTATGTCCATACCATGGAATATTACTCAGCAATAAAAAGGCACACACAACTCGGTTGAACATCAAGGAAGTTATCCTGAGTGAAAAAAGCCAGTCTTAAGGGATGGACATATACTGCATGAGGCTATTTATGTAATACTCATGAACTAACAGACATGTGGAAAACAGATTGTGATCGCCAGCAGTTAGGCTTGAGGGTCTAGGATGGCTGTAGCTAAAAGGGTGGCACAAGAGTGTCTTTTGATTAGTACTTTTAAGTATCTCGAATGTGGCTGTGGTTACACAAAGCTATACAGGTGACAAAAACCACATAGAGCTATACACATATGTACACAAATGAGTGCATGTGTAACTGATGATATCTGCATAGGCTCCATGCATCACCCCAGTGTCAGTTTCCTGGTTTTGATATTGTACTCCAGTTACGCAAGATGCTAACACTGGCGGAGGCTGGATGAAGGGTGCAGGAGGCCTCCCTGTACCTTTATTTCCAACTGCCTGTGAATCTGTCATTATTTCAAAATAGAAAGTTTAAAAAGTTAGTGCAATGGTTCGTTTTAGGTGCCAACTTGACTGAATTAAGGAATATCTAGAAACTTGGTAAAGCATTATTTTTGGGTGTTTCTGTGAGAGTGTTTCCAGGGGAGATTGGCATGTAAGTCTGAGTGAAGCATGTGGGAAGATCCACTCTCAATGTGGATAGGCATCATCCAACTTGCTGTGAGTTCAGAGAGAACAAAAACAGAGAAGAGGTGAATATATCAATCTATCTGCTGGAATTAGAATACAGTCTTCCTCTTTTGTCCTGGGACAATAACTCCAGGCTCCTTGGCCTTTGGACTTTAAGATACACACCTGCTGGGTTCTCAGGCCTTTGGCCTTGAACTGAGAGTTACACCACCTTCTTCTTGGTTCTGAGGCTTTCAGACTTGGACCAAGCCATGCTACCAGCATCCCAGTGAGGTGGGAGGCAGGACTTGACGCCAGAGGCGGGGCTTGGACATAGGATCCAATTGAGGACTAGCTAAAATAGGGAAGCAGCTTTCCTACCAGTGTGCCCTGTCAGTTTTCCATTACCATGGCAACACGTAGGCGTTACCACCCCTTTCCAGCACAATGACCCAAGGACCCAAAAATCACTACCCCTTCCCTAAAATTTCTGCACAAACCACCCCTTAATCTATATGTAATTAAAAGTAAGTATAAATACGACTGCAAAGCTGCCCTGAGCTACAACTCTCTGCCTATGGGGTAGCCCTGTTCTGCAGGAGCAGTCATGGAGCTGTAACACTGCCGCTTCAATAAAACTGTCTTCTTCTACCCCACGACTGGCTCACCCTTAAATTCTTTCCTCGGTGACGCCAAGAACCCTCACAGGCTAAGCCCCACTTTGGGAGTTGTCTGCCCTGCTGCACCAGGGTCTCCAGCTGGCCTGTGGTGGGACTTCAGCTTCCATGATCTTGTGAGTCAATTCCCCATATAAATCTACACCCCCCGGCCCCCGCCACCCCCGATCCTATTGAGTCTGTCTCTTTGGAAAATGCTGACTAATATAGTTGGGCTGAAAACCAGCATGACCAGTCATAGAAGCCCTGCAACATTGTCTCACCATATGTTCTGAGACATTTTCACTGCTGCTGCTCCCTATAAATGAACAGAGTCCATGGAAACTTCAATAAGGCATTCTTTGCTGATTGTGTGTATTCACAGAGGAACTAACGGCATTTGTTCTTCGTGTTTTCTGAACCTTGATGTTGTCATGTGATTGTGTTATCCATTGTGAAGTGCCGTACTTGTGGCTGGATGATCTCACCCCAGCTTTTCTTCTTCCGTGGGATGGTGATGATGGTGTATGTTTAAAAGAGTTCTCTCCGATTTCTCTCTCTCTCTCTCATTAAAACTTCTCTTCATAGCCCCAAATAAAAATGCTCATTGCATCTTTCCTTTTACCTGCCCCATTTTGGAATGAGAACGTAAAGCCTTTGGGTCCCCTGAATGTAACTTATGCATTTTATGTTCCAAGCTTTATTGAAGCATCTGAAGATTGAGCATTCAGCCACTCAGGAGTGTCTTAAGATCCTAAGCAGCCAGGAAATCCTAGGACCTTCTCTTGTATCTTTTCCATGGCGAGTAACCTTGTATTCAGTGGAGAAGAGAGGAGACACATCAATTATACAGAACTATTCTTTGGAAGGCCTGAATGTCCATTTATCCTCTCTCTTGGGTGGGGGAAACTACTTAGTCCTTACTGATAATGTTAAATAATACAAAATGCCAACATACTGGTACTTCCGAATACTGACAGAGACTGTAATGTAACGTAGGCACAATTTTAAAGCCACAAGTCCTCCAGTTTATGTCTTATTGGAACTAATCACTTCCCCTTAGATTCCCATAAAGCCTCAAAGATGATAACAAAAGACAGTGTCATTTCCTCCTTTTATGGAGAGAAGAAATAAAGTCAGAGAGTCCTAAGTTTCCTGAATGGATGACTAGTCAATATTATATGAGAAGAGCAAAATTCATCTCCTTAACTGGGCCCCTCGTTCACCATTTATGGGGTTCTCAGGGCTTTGGTATCAGCTGTGGTCACCATGTTCCATAGTTAAGGAGACATACCTATTCGTTTTGGGAGAGAAGATATCTCGTGGTATTTCTGATATAGCGCCTTGAATTCTTGAAGGAAAAAAATTGGTTTATGTCAATGCCAGGGCACTGGTGTTACTACTGAAGTTCTAAATCTTAGGGATGACTTAGAAAAGGTCTAAAGACCAAAGCCAGTAAGTGGAGGTTTTTTAAAACACCACAGATGGCTTCCCCTCCCCCCACCTTTTTAAGGCTCATTCCTAAATGAAGCAAACCAACCACATGCTGAATCTTATACCCTTCATCCCTGCACATTCGGCCTTTCTTTCTCTCTTCCTTTTCTTTTTTTTTTTTTTTGAGACAGAGTCTCGCTCTGCCGACCAGGCTGGAGTGCAGTGGCAGGATCTTGGATCACTGCAATCTCCATCTCCCAGGCTCAAGCAATTCTCCTGCCTTAGCCTCCCGAGTGGCTGGGACTACAGGTGCCTGCCACCATGCCTGGTTAATTTTTTGTATTTTTAGTAGAGACGGGGTTTCATCATGTTGGCCATGCTGGTCTCAAACTCCTGACCTCGTGATACACCTGCCTTGGCCTCCCAAAGTGTTGGGATTACAGGCGTGAGCCACCATGCCCAGACTGGTTGGTTTTTCTTTTAATGACTGTTACATTTCAGGTGCTGTTTAGGGATCTTTCTGATACTCTCTCTAGGCTGAACACGGATGAACTCTGTTTGTGTCTGGGAATATAACATGAGTACCGATGTACCTGCCAGTCTATCTCCGATGCCCTGTGGTCATAGTGGGGTTTGCGATCAACAAGCCTCTTCAGAATGCCCTGGTTTTCCATGGTGATTCTCAGTAGCTCGCGGTTCCTTGTTTCCCTGTTTAAGCTGAAAAACACAAAACCCGGAGATGGGTGAAGAAGGAAATGTTCATCCTCACGAGTGGGGGAGATGAAGTCATGAGATTATAAATGCCAGGCTGCCTAAGTGCAGGCAGTAAACTGTCCTGCTGAGCCCACGGCCTCCTGGGGCAGCCCGTTGATCTGCACTACACTCTGGGAAATGTGACAGCATTTGCAGGTTTATATCAGTGGTCCTCAGCCCTGTTGGCCATGAGAAGATTCTACTTCATTGGTCTGAGGTGAACCTTGGGCACTAGCATTTTGTTAAAATTCCCCAAGGATTATAATGTAAAACCAGGATTGGGGGAAAGTCTCCCTGTGGATAAATCACAGATGGCTGGCGACAAGTTTTGGGTCACCTCACTCCTCTCAGCTTTCAATTTACACCAGAATATTCCAGGATATAGGAACAGCATCTTGACCATCTCTTTCCTCCAACAAAATTCTTTTTTTTTTTTTTTTGAGACGGAGTCTTGCTCTTGTCACCCAGGCTGGAGTGTGGTGGCTCGATCTCAGCTCACTGAAACCTCTGCCTCCCGGTTCAAGCAATTCTCCTGTCTCAGCCTCCCAAGTAGCTGGGACTACAGGCCCTTACAACCAGGACCAGCTATTTTTTTGTTTGTTTCTATTTTTGGTAGAGACGAGGTTTCACTGTGTTAGGATGGTCTCTATCTCCTGATCTCGTGATCTGCCCGCCTCAGCCTCCCAAAGGGCTGGGATTACAGGCGTGAGCCTCCGCGGCCGGCCCCCACCCCTCACCGTATTCTTTCGCTCACATGTGCTTCTTTTGTATCCCTAATCACACTGCATTGTCATTATTTACATAAATGTCTCCCCTACAAGACCTTGAGTTCTTTCAAGTTAAGAAATAAACATCTCATTTCATCTCTGTTATTCCCGGTACCTAGCACATAGTAGTTGCTCAGGAAAGATTTCTGGAATCAATTTTAAGAATGCCACATCATAGCCCCAGCCATAGTGCTATGGTCCAGATGTCTGTGTTCCCCAAAATTCTTATGTTCAAATCCTAACCCCTGAGTGACGGTATTAGGAGGTGAGGCCTTTGAGAGATTCCATCACCCTAATGGAATTAGTGTCCTTATGAAAGAAGCCTGAGAGAAACCCCTTGCTCCTTCTGCCACGTGAGGTTACAGTGAAAACATAGCTGCCCATGAAGCAGGAAGCAGGACCTCATCAAATGGTGATGAGACGCCAAATTTACTGGCACCTTGATCTTTGGAATTCCTTGCCTCTAGAACTATGAGAAATAAATTTTTGTTGTTTATAAGCCAACAGTTTATAGCATTTTGCTATAACATCCTATGATGTACTAAGACACACGGCCACCATTTTATAAAAGTGGGCAGTGCATTCTTGTGACAAACTGAATAGGACTCTGAAAGTCTCTTAGATGAAAGAAAAGTTAGTGCTTTAATGCTAGAGAAAGCTCCCCATTTTTAAGGTTTTCATTCTCTATAACATGGTCTCTTTGGTTCTCCCTCAAGATAACTTCCCTTAAGTACTCCTCTGGCTTGGGAAAACCACACACTAAAACCCAAGAGGAAAGTCAATTTTGACTTTCCAAAACTGAAATGAAGACAAAGGACATTACCTCTTAGAAAAATATTCATTCCAGCAATCCACCTTGGCAGGGCCGCGATGGGCATTTGCGATCTTCTGACAGAGTTGCTTGTTTTCATACTCGATTTTGTTGATTCTCTTTTGTTCACCCTGGTAAGAAACCACGCCACCACGTGACACCATCAGTACACCACCCCAACACACAATGACTTGGCTTCCCCCTCCTCTGAGATCCTGGGAAAGGGGTGCATTGAGGGCCACAGGGAAGACTGGGAGCAGAACTTAAAAGACTTGGGGGCTGGGCGCAATGGCTCACACCTGTATTCCCAGCACTTTGGGAGTCCGACGTGGGCAGATCATGAGGTCAGGAGATCAAGACCATCCTGGCTAACACGGTAAAACCCTATCTCTACTAAAAATACAAAAAATTAGCTGGGCGTGGTGGCATGCGCCTGTAGTCCCGGCTACTCAGGAGGCTGAGGCAGGAGAACGAATGGCTTGAACCCCAGAAGGCAGAGATTGCAGTGAGCTGAGATCGAGCCACTGTACTCCAGCCTGGGGGACAGTCTCAAACAGCAACAACAACAACAACAACTGGGGTTGTCGTGTTTGGGGAGGAAGAAAATTAACAAATCTTTGAGTAGATGGGTATTAGAAGGCTCTGGGAAATTGAACCTCTTTAGGACATAGACTGGAAGTCAATAAAATACATCTGCAGGCAGCAAGAACAAATACCTGTAGTTTGCTCAGTTTTAAAAGGTGATGTGTGTGCGCCACTGGAGGTTTGGTATCAACAGTAGGCTTCACTAGAGAAGGGAGATGAAAGACAGCAACGTTACATCACAGGAATTCCAGTAGCAGCCTCAAAAAACCAGCACTAGACAATGTCCTTGACTAAGGAACAATTGCGAATTAGGACCTGAATGTGGCTCAGGAAGTTTTGTTTGGTTTAATTTATCAGATGGACATCTCTGAGGAGGTTTGAACAGAAACAAAAGAACAGTGAGAGCTAGGAAAAGTAAAATTTACAGAGATAAATGTCCTTTTAATCCGATGAAAGAGCCTCTCTTCCAACCTTTTTCCGCTATTACTCGCCTGTCTATTGGCTTCTGAAGTCCTATCCTCTTTCTAACTTACTTTGGCTTTAAAGAGTTTAAAGAAGTATTTCCATCCAGTGAGCTCCCTGGTGGAAGATAAATTTTGTTATTGGTGCTAATGCCCTCTTGCCCAAACTCAGCAGAGAAGGCCAGACCATCCCAGAGCTGTGACCTGGTCTGATTTACTTTCCATCTCTCTAGGGGGTACCATTCCAAAATCCCTAATAGCAGTGTCTAGCCCAGACTGCCCACATACCTATTTGTACTCTATTCTTGTGAGACAGATAGTGGCCAAAGTCCAGTTTCTTTCTGAAGGTTGTGCTTTGCCTGTGATTAGAGACGATGACAGGGTAGGCCAGATAATCCAGGGAATTGTTCATCTTCTCTTCCTAGTCTCACTTCCGAAATGAGGCATCCAGACTCCTCTGTGAGGTGCCTAGCTGTTCCCCTGACAAGTTGTCATAGTTACCCAGTTATGACATCAGGGATGGGTCTCAGGAAAGGAGTAGGAGCAGTGGGCATGGCTGGCTGCCTCTGGGCTTCTGTGTTTGATGCTAACCTAGGCTCAAGTCAAGATGAAGGTCAAGGGACTTGAAAAGTTTTCCCCTGATTAGAATGCAGATACTGCCAGACAACATCAGAAGGGAAGGAGTGGTGCTCCGGGAGGGGCGGGCAGGCACGGGGTGGAGTGAGGGTTACAGAAACTCCAGCCTTGGTTACACATCTTGGGCTATCAGCTAAGTGGTCTCCACTGCAATAGCTCCCCTGAAGGTGCAAGACCACAGGTTTTTGAGGGAGAAGAAAGTTGACCCTAATGATAATCTGATGCAATTTCTTTTGCAGATGAGGAAACTGAAGACCACAGTGCAACTCAAGAACCACGTTGGTGGCAGGGCTGGGATCAGGATGTGGGTTTCCTGAATTCAAGGCCAAATTTGCTCTTTTGCAAGAAGGAAACTGCCAGTTTTTCATGGCAGTGGGGGAGGGTGGCTTTCCTGCAGGACAGAGACTGTCTTTTGTACTTAGTGGGAGTTCAGGAAATGCTGAGTGGCTTGTGGTGGGCTGGCATCTGCTCCAGGAAGGACTGCAGGAGTCTGATTTATCTCCACGCCAGCACAGGGTGTGGCACCCACTGGGTGCTCAGCGCATTTGCTGATGAAGGACCAACACTTATTGAGCGCTCGCGATGTGCAGTGCTGGGTGCCTTCCTTGAATGTCACATTTAACCCTCCCAGCAACCCTAAGAATTAGGTACTATTACTGCCCCCTCCTTTTTTTTTTTTTTTTTTTTTTAAGCAAATAGGCTCAGGTTAGGTAATTCCTCGGAATTCCCAGGCTGATTGCTTTTAAGCACCACGCTTTCAATGAATGTTGACAGCAGACGCGCCCCAGAGTAGAGCTTCTCAGACTTTGATCTTCCTAGGGACCTCCTGGGGTCAGTGCAATGTCCACTCTGATCCAGCAGGGCTGGGCTGCGGGGGTTCTGGCGAGGGCCCGGGAGAGGCCTCCGCAGCCGCTCGCGAGCCGAGCCCGGCAGTCCCTGTAATCCAGAAAGACTGAAGCGACCCCTAGGTGTACCCGGCAGTTTGGAAACGTTTATTGGGCCCTGCATTTTGTTCAGGGAAGGAAGTGACCGCGCTTCCCAGTTTACAAAGATACACCAACGGCCTGGACCGGGGTGGGGCGAGGACCCCCGAGACTCGAAGGCGGTGGCGTCTCCCCCCGGGGACGCGCCCAGGAGTGGCGCGCGGGGCCCCCGCGTCACAGCGCCGGCGCTCCGCACTCCCGGAGCCCGGCGGGCCCGCCCCCGGGGCGGAACGGGGCGGCTCCCGGCGCGAGCCCCCGCCCAGCTGACCCGCCGCTCTCCCCCTCGCTCGCTCCGCCGGGCGTGCAGGGCCCCGCCGCCGCCATGTCGGGCTCGTTCGAGCTCTCGGTGCAGGATCTCAACGACCTGCTCTCAGATGGCAGCGGCTGCTACAGCCTCCCGAGCCAGCCCTGCAACGAGGTCACCCCGCGGGTCTACGTGGGCAACGCGTGAGTCCCCCTCGCGGTCCGGGCCCCGCCGCCCCCCCCCGGGACGCCCCGCCCACTCGAGGCTGGGGTGGGGGCGTCGCGAGGCGTGGGTCGGGGGAGCAGGGGCGCTATTGCCCCTCCGGGAGCCAAAGGGGGGCTTGGGAGGGAGCTGGAGTTGACGTCCACCCCCGCGCGTGGGGCCGAGGGACCGGAAACCTGCCCAGCCGGCCGGGCGCGGCCCTTCCCCGTCGCTGGTGCACGGAGCCCGGGGGGCGCGCTGTTGGGGCTTGGCCTTGGGCGGGGTCGGGGCTACCAAGTTCACTTAACAGGTGGCCCTCGGTCGCCCGGCCGGTCTCCTGCCCGCGCGTCATGTGACAGCTGCCTGGTTCTGCAGTGAGGTCACCGCGGAATGTCTGCCTTCGCCGCCATGGCAACGGGCCGACGTCACAGTTCGGGCGTGGAATTTTTCCGGCCGGGCAGTCCCGAATCGGGGAACCTAAACACCCCAAACGAGGGAGTCCGGGTTGCTGGGCCGGGATTTCCAGGCCTCTTCTCCCACCTTCCAGATGTGGTTTGATTTGCATGAGATTCTAGAAGGGTCCAGTGATAAGCCTCCTAATGACCTGAGCCACTACCTAGAAAAGGCTCTTGACGTTTCATCCCCAGGAAATGCATTTATTCTTGATCATTTATGGGTTCTTCCTACCAGATTGATTACCCCATTCTCTATTACTCAAACTACTAGTAAGAATTTTTTTATTTAAATTTAAATTTTTTTTCTAATGAGAATGTCTAATCAGCAGGAGGGAACCGGTGTTAACATTCTGAGATGTGAAATAGGACCTACGAGAAAGAACAGATCAGCATGCCAGGACAGCCTCGGAAAGGCTCAGGCAGGATTTTCATGAGACTCTGAGGACCCAGTTACCAAAATCCTAAGCTCCATGCCTCAGCCCAAGGATGGCATGTTGAAAACTCAAAACCCACTCTCCTCTCATTTCAGAGGAAGAAATGGTGGTTCAGTGTCTGAGGGAGTACGAGGACAGGGTCAATGTCTTGTTTGTGTCTGTATTCCCTGACCTCCGTTAGGACCTGCTGCTTAGCCTGCCAAGGACTGCAACGAAAATGGGGGTCCCTGGGGAACTAGAGTTCCCATCCGTTCCATCATTCCTTCACTAGTCTGAGCACCTACTGTGTGACAGGCACTGTGCAGTGTTCATTCATAGTAGAGATAGTAATAATGATAATGGTAAATTGGTTGAATGTTGAATTATTAATAGTATTAGAGAAGGGAGATGAACAGGAGTGACTCTTCAAAGTGGTTTTTTTTTTTCCTATTAGCCGCTGCTTTACAGTCTTGCGCAGTGTCCTAAGCAGAAATAGATAAAACAGAGAATTGCAAAGCTCTGGAGACACCCTTCCACCTGCCCCAGGCAGCAGGTGGGCCTTGTTAGCCTCAGGAACGCTGCCTGCTTGGGCAGCTGGGCCATTCAGCTGTCACCACTTCCCAAGTGGAAACCAAGGTTGTGCACACCTGGTGTAGCCCGCGTGGCAACTGCTGATGGCCATTGTAGAAAATACATCCCTTGCCCTCTAAGCACACCTGACCTTGACTTGGCCGGGGGTATGAGGGCTGCTCAGCAGGGAGGGTCAGTGGGCACCGGGCACCAAGATCCTTAGGCACCATCTCCTTAACAAAATCAGGGCTGCAGCCGTGTCTTCACAAGGCAGAGAAAGAGCCTGTGTAAGCCACATTTGCCAGGCTTTGGGGGTTTTGCAGCAGATGTGGGCATGAGAGACAGAGTGAGGTGGAAGATAGCGCAGGGCTGGGTGTCGGAAGAAAGGAGGTCTTCTCCCAGCCCTGCCGCCAGCAGCGTGTGGGGCACGTGCCCATCCCTCTGCCCATCCTGTTGGGTCAGAGTTCAAACTCTGTTCAGTGGGGATACTGCCATCCTTGTTCCTCACAGGGCTACTCATAGTGGGCAACAAGATCACATAGGAGGTGGCATTTTATAAACTGCCGTTTGGACTGGGATGTTTTGCCAGATGAAATAAAGGGGCCTTTTCACCATTCAGATCAATTATTATTATTATTTTAAAACTTTTTTTTTTTTCATTTTTAGAGATGGAGTCTCGCTCTGTCACCCAGGCTGTAGTGCAATGGCACAATCTTGGCTTATTGCAACCTGTACCTCCTGGGTTCAAGCGATTCTCCTGTCTCAGCCTTCCAAGTAGCTGGGATTACAGGCGTGTGCCATCATACCTGTAATTTTAGTAGAGATGGGGTTTCACCATGTTGGCCAGCCCTGTCTCGAACTCCCAACCTTAGGTGATCCACCCGCCTTGGCCTCCCAAAGTGCTGGGATTACAGGCGTGAGCCACCACACCCAGCCTTAGGTAAATTATTTTGTAACTTCCCATAGTTCTCTTAGGGCCACCTGCTCTCCAAGTACTAAATCATCCAAGACAGCTTTGGAAATGTGGCCAGTGGAATGTGGCAGGTAGGATCCCTCTAGGAGGCAGGGAGGGGGCTCCCTGGCATGGGATGGATTTATTCTTCTGCACTCATTCACCGCTTATTTATCCAGCACCTACTATGTAGCAGGTACTGTAGCAGGTGGCAGGGAAACAGACTTGAAGCAGACATGGGTCCTCTCTCAAGGAGCTCACAGCCTGGATGTGTAAACACAGAAGCACAGTCAAGCATTAGAATCATAGTGTTAACTACGGTGTCAGGCTCTGTCCACGGAAAAGGCCACTTAATACTCATAACAACCTCAGGGAGAAAGCACTGTTACCCCATTTTACAGAGAGGGAAACTGAGGCACAGAAGGCTTAAGGTTGCCTGGCTAGTAACTGGGCTGGAGGCAGACCCAGTTATTCTGGTTCCAGAGTCCATTTTTAGCCAGTTGGCTATGTACACCCACGCCACAGCTTAGGGAGCATGGGGCCACATGGAATGGAGGGGAGAGAAACGCTGCGGAGGGTGTGAAAGACAAGAGGGCGCATGTCTCCAGAGAGGGCGGGAAAGAGCATTCCAGACAGAGGGGACGGTGTGGCTATGAAACCACCAGTCTATTTGGGGAAGCTGCTGGCAATTCGATATGGCCCGAGTGAGGGAAGAGGTCATAAGATGAGGCGGGAGAAGCTGGCAGGGGCCAGAGCATGGAGGGGTTCCTTGCTTTGCCAAGCAGCTTAGATCCCTCTCCATCTTCCTCCTGCTGGGGCTGCCATTTGGTTGGTTAGTCATCCCCCCAATTGTCTCCCATCCAGGTCTGTGGCTCAGGATATCCCCAAGCTGCAGAAACTGGGCATCACCCACGTCCTGAACGCGGCTGAGGGCAGGTCCTTCATGCACGTCAACACAAATGCCAACTTCTATAAGGACTCCGGCATCACCTACCTGGGTATTAAGGCCAACGACACACAGGAGTTCAACCTCAGCGCTTACTTTGAAAGGGCTGCTGACTTCATTGACCAGGCTTTGGCGCAAAAGAACGGTAAGAGACCTGCTGCCAGGAAAAGATGGGAGGCAGCTTTGAAGGACCATCCCTCTGGAAAACAGGCCCACAACTGGTGTCTTCTGGGAAATCCCCTCATTTCCTATCTTCTGTGGTCAGAGACAGAGCTGTGGGGCTCTCTCTGCTCACCTGGCTGCCTGTCCAGTGGACCCAGGTGTCAGGATGTGTAACTCATTCACGCAATGGCAGCCCCAGGGTCCTTGCATTTGATTGCACTTTGGCTGGGGCTTGGTTTCCAGCTGCTTACACATCCCCCATTTAAACAGCTGTAATGATGAGGAAAAGGTGGTAATGTGCATGGTGAGAAGGCCTGAGGTGAAGGAGCAAGGGGCTGGTTGATCTGGGCTGGTTGATTCAGCAGCTCTGGGGTGGCATATGGACCAGGCCCTTCCCCCTTCTTTTCTTTCTTTTCTTTTTTTGAGACAGACTCTCCCTCTGTTGCCCAGGCTGGAGTGTAGTGGTGTGACCTCAGCTCACTGCAACCTCTGCCTCCTGGGTTCAAGCGTTCTCCTGCCTCAGCCTCCCAAGTAGCTGATTGTACAGGCACGTGCCACCACACCTGGCTAATTTTTATATTTTTAGTAGAGATAGGGTTTCACCATATTGGCCAGGATGGTCTCGATCTCTTGACCTCCTGTTCTGCCCACCTCGGTCTCCCAAAGTGCTAGGATTACAGTAGGCATGAGCCACTGCGCCAGGGGGTCCTTTCCCTCTCTCTCTTCTGCCACCTCAGTGTTGGGTGCTCCTCTCATGGTCCCAAGATGGTATCAGGTTATCACATCCCAATAGGACAAAGGGAAGCAGATGAGGCACTGCAGCCATCTCTTCCCACGTTTTTCTCCTCTCCATTTTTTTTATTAAGCCAGAGTTTCACTCTTGTTGCCCAGGCTGGAATGCAACGGCAGTATCTCTGCTCATCGCAACCTCCGCCTCCCGTGTTCAAGCGATTCTCCTGCCGCAGCCTCACAAGTAGCTGGGACTATGGCGAGCACCACCATCTGGCTAATTTTTCTATTTTTAGTAGAGATGGGACTTCTCCATATTGGCCAGGCTGGTCTCAAACTCCCAACCTCAGGTGATCCACCCATCTTGGCCTCCCAAAGTGCTGGGATTATGGCGTGAGCCACCTTGCCTAGCCACTCTTCTCTTTTTTAAGGAGACAGAGTCTTGCTGTGTTGCCTAGACTGGTCATCTCCAACTCCTGGGCTCAAGCAATCCTCTCACCTCAGCCTTCCAAGTAGCTGGGACTACAAGCAGGCGCCACCATGCCTGGCCTCTGTCTTTTTCTAAGAGCAAGTAAAACATTCCCTGGAACCCCCCCTCACATCTCACTGGCTAGGGATTCACGTGACTGCCTGGCAAGGGGAAACAGGGTAGCTGTGGTCAGCTTAAGTTGGCAGTCAGCAAAGCACAGCCCCCCCCCGCCCCGGGCAAATCTTCCAGCCGCTTAAAAAATACTTCCTGCAGCCTCCAAATATAAGGTAAGACTGAAGGAGAACTAGCAAGGCGCTGGCAGTCACCAAGGCATTCCGGCAAGAAACCCTAGAAGGCCACAGAGCAGACATCAGCTGAGCAGGCTGGGCCACTTGCCCTTTCTTCCTTTCTGCTTTTAGCTGTTTTTCTCAGCTCCTTCCTTTACCTTTCCCTCCCTCTGCACCCCACACCCTCCCAGGGAAAGGACCCCATGAGGTGTGATCAGCCTTGCCTCTACTACACTGATGCTTCTTGGGCCTAGTAGCCTCGTGTCAGAATGATTTCCGGTACACAGAATGTTCTATACCACTGGACAGTGCATGCTCAGGGCTGAGAGAGAAGCTTCACTGTGGGAGAATCTGCAGACTTTGCTGACAGGCCCCTGATGGTCCTTCCAGGTTGCCCCCTCCACTCCAGCTGCACTGAGCTCCTCACCCTGTGTAGACACGGGCCGGCCCAAGGGGAAGGATTTTGCTATTCTTGGGTAATACCAATTGGTCATTCATTCGTGGAATTTTGAGCTCTCCGACTTTGTTTCCTCTTTCCAAACAACTAGGAATATGCCTTTTTTCACCTCCTGTCTCAGTCCAGGTGTGCTGGGTTTTCAGTCTGAAAAGTTCTCTCTGCCTCTTCCTACCATATCCTCTGGCAAACTCCACCTCGTCCTTGGCACGGTGGCCTCTCTTCCATGAAGCCTACCCTCAGCCTGGGTCCACTTTGTTCCTTGTCTGTCTTCTTAGCCCTTGATGTAGCATCAGGTACACAGTATGTACACTGCAGATGATTAATGAGCAAGTGATGACGAATTCCACGGGCTCTAATGCCAAGTATAAATGCTTCTAAGAATGAGAGGCCGAGTTAACAGAAATATGCTGGCCTCTGACAGTGTGTGGGACCCAGGGACTCATCACAGAGAGCTGGGTGGGGTGGCTGAGGGTGCTCAAGAGGGAGGAGTCACTTCCAGCTGGGAAAATCAAGGGAGGCTTCATGGAGGAGGTGGCATCTGGGCTGAGCCTAGGGTAATGAGAGGTTGAATTGTCCCCTTTCCCAGTAGGCTCTGTGTGCACTGGGGCCTACATGCAAAGTATGTTCTAGATGGTGAGGTGGCTGCTCTGCAGAGGGTCTCATTCCTAGGGCGGGGCAGCCGAGGCCCCACTCTGAATATTTTGGGCATATAGGCTGGAGGGTGAATGGGCAGGAAAGGGGAGGACTCCTGCTTCTTGATTTGGAAGGCACTGGGAAAACAGAGTGGTGTTTTGAGGGTTGGGTGATGGGAGCAGAAAAGACTCTGTTGGACTCTGGGCTAGCAGATTTCTTGCCAAACAATGCCCTTATAGAGGTGTTAGTAGGTAATAATTCCCTCAGCTAGTCAGCAAATATTTATTGAGCACATAGTGTATGCTAGAGATTGTAATGCATCCAAAAATCAGTGCCCCACATTTCTTGTGGGTTTTTTTTTTTTGGACATAGTCTCGCTCTTGTCACCCAGGCCCAGGCTGGAGTGCAGTGACTCGATCTCGGCTCCCTGCAACCTCCACCTCCCGGGTTCAAGCAATTCTGTCTCAGCCTCCTGAGTAGCTGGGATTACAGGCATGTGCCACCACGCCCGGCTAATTTTTGTAATTTTAGTAGAGACAGGGTTTCGCCACGTTGGCTAGGCTGGTCTTGAACTCCTGACCTCAGGTGATCCACCCACCTCAGCCTCCTAAAGTGCTGGGATCATAGGTATGAGCCACTGTGCCTATGTGATTTCTTGCTCTTAAGGAATTCATCCTCTGGGAGAGGAGAGTCGATCTGTGCATGGCTGGCAGTGACACAGGACCAGGGCTGCTATAGTTGAGGAAGGACTAGGTGCCACCAGAGAGTACTGGGTAATGTTTATTGAGTGCTCATAGATGCCAGGTGCTAGCCTAGGGGATTCATGTGTCGTTTCCTTTAATCTTCCAACCACCTGTGCAATGGGTACTATTGTCCAGATAAGAAAACTGAGGCACGTTGAGGTTAGGTGGCTCACAAGTTAATAAACAGTGTATTGGTCAGGATTCTCTAGAAAAAACAGAACTAATAGAATATATAGTTGGTCCTCCATACCCATGGGTTCCACATCTGTGGATTCAACCAACCGCAGACTGAAAATATTAAAAACGGCATAAAAGGATGTTATGTCTGTACTGAACATGTACCGACTTTTTGTTCTTGTCATTCTCTAGCTGATACAGTACAACTGTGTACATTGCATCGGGTATCATAAGTCATCTGGAGATGATTTCAAGTATAAGGGAGTGTGTGCACAGGTTGCTTGCATGTGTTATTTTATATCAGGAACTTGAGCATCTGTGGGTTTGGGCATCTGCAGGAGGTCCTGGAACTAATTTTCTCAGTGGATATTGAGAGATGGTGTCTATTTATATATATATACACACACACATGCCATATTAAAAGATGTTATGTATTTATATATAGGTTTATTTTATAAAAATATATTTCTATATATCATATATAATATACATATTTTACAAATATATACATAATTATATAATTGTATAATTTATATAAGATATATTTAATATAAACATCTAATATCTAATTTTATAATTGTTACATAATATATAATTATAATTGATAAAATTATATGATTATATATCTGCAGGAGGTCCTAGAACCAATCTCCCTGGTAGGTTTTGAGAGATTGTCTCTCTCTCTCTACACACACACACATACATATACATATACACATGTATATACATGTGTGTATATATACATATATGTATACATACATGTATACACATATACACACATGTATATGTATACGCACACACGTACACACATGCATGTACGTGCATGTGCACATGCACACACATGCACACATGCATGCACATACGTGCATACACGAGTGCACACATGCATGCACATACGTGCATACACGAGTGCACACATGCATACACGTGTGCACACGCACATACGTGTGTGTGCATACACACATGTACGTGTATACGCGTACACATGCATAAACATACATGCATGTCTATATGCATGCACCCATGCATGTACATGTATGTATATGCACATGTGTATGTATACATGTGTACATGCACGCAGATGCATATGCATACACACGTGTATATATACATACATGTATATATGTATGCATACACGTGTATATGTATACACACATACCTCTGTATGTATATATACATGTGTATATATAGACATATGCACACATATAGACATATATGTGTATATGCATATATACACATATACACACTATTAAAATGTTATATATACATATTTTTATAAAAATAAACATAAGTATAATATACATATTTTATAAATATATAAATTATATAAATACAATATAAATATAAATATGTAATTATATATTACAATTATATAAAATATGTAACATATAAAAATATATAATTACAATATATAATGTAGTTCATCAAAGCAGTTGAACTAAATCTCAGCCGAGATTGTGCCATTGCATTCCAGTCTGGGCGACAAGAGCAAAACTCTGTCTCAAAAAAAAGAAAACACTACCAGCACCCTGGAAAGCACCCCCAGTCTCTGTGCTCCACTGCCGTCATCCCCAGCTCCCAGGGCCTCTGCCATGCAGGCTTTTTTTTCTTTGAGATAGAGTCTTGCTGTGTTGCCGAGGCTGGCTCACTGAAACCTTCGACTCCCAGGTTCAAGTGATTCTCCTGCCTCAGCCTCTCGAGTTGCTGGGATTACAGGCATGCGCCACCACACCCAGATAATTTTTTATCTTTAGTAGAGATGGGGTTTCACCATGTTGGCTAGGCAGGTCTCGAACTCCTGACCTCATGATCCACCCACTTCAGCCTCCCAAAGTGCTGGGATTACGGGTGAGAGCCACCGTGCCTAGCCCCATGCAGGCTTCTGACAGCACAGATGGTTTCGCTTGCTCTCCTGCTCTGTGGGCTCATCCGCCCCCTATCTGAGTGCTGCTCTGTGTCATTCTGCTCATTCTTTGTATTTATCCTTTCTACTGGGATGGGCCTTTAGGGGTTCTAGCTGGAGCTGTGATGTACAGTGCTGCCTATGAACATTCCGGCCTGTGTGTGTGGGTGAATGTGAATGCGCGCTCTGTTGGACCTGGGCCCGGGGGTGGGATTGCTGGGCCAGAGGGGATACATGTGTTCAGCTTGAGGAGACACTGCCGTGCCGCACAAGCTTTCCAAAGTGGTTGCGCCAATTCATGCCTCACCTCCCCCAGCCCCGCGGAAGAGTTCCAGTTGCCCCATATCCTCACCAGCACTTTGGGTTTTCCGTCCTTTTCATTTTAGCCATTCTGGCAGGCACACAGTGGCATGACATTATGCTTTTCAGTTGCACTTCACGGAGGAGGTTTTTTTTTTTTTCTCCCTGAAACAGAGTTTTGCTCTTACTGCTCAGGCTGGAGTGCAGTGGCATGATCTCAGCTCACCACAACGTCCGCCTCCTAGGTTCAAGCAATTCTCCTGCCTCAGCCTCCCAAGTAGCTGGGATTACAGGCATGCACCGCCATGCCTGGCTAATTTTGTACTTTTAGGTAGAGACAGGGTTTCTCCATGTTGGTCAGGCTGGTCTTGAACGCCCGACCTCAGGTGATCTGTCTGCCTCGGTGGGGATTACAGGCATGAGCCACTGCACCCACCCAACAGTAGGGGACACAGACGTGGTCTCCCGTTTCCCAGCTCACCACATCTCCCCTGTTTCTTCCAGGCCGGGTGCTGGTCCACTGCCGGGAAGGTTACAGCCGCTCCCCAACGCTAGTTATCGCCTACCTCATGATGCGGCAGAAGATGGACGTCAAGTCTGCCCTGAGCATCGTGAGGCAGAACCGTGAGATTGGCCCCAACGACGGTTTCCTGGCCCAGCTCTGCCAGCTCAATGACAGACTCGCCAAGGAGGGGAAGTTGAAACCCTAGGGCACCCCGGCTGCCTCTGCTCTCGAGGTCCGCGGGGGGAGGCCCTGGGCAAAGGTGTCCCGAGCTGCCATGTTTAGGAAACACACTGTCCCTACTCCCAGCATCACAAGGCACCTGTTTACGAGTCTGCCCCAACTCAGCCCTGGGCCACTTCCCCCACCCTGGGGAGCACATAAAGAAGCTTGCCGAGGGGGGCATCCTTGCTCCCTGGTTGTCCTGTTTCTGTAACTTATGATGTCTTTTCCCTGAGATGGGGGCTCAGCGGGGGAAGGCCTGTGGCCTGCATGCTTCCCGACGGCCCAGGGCAGGAGGCGTGCGGATGCATCAGGCCTGGGACACTCACAGAGGGCCCTTACGACCTTTCCTCCCCCACCCCCAAATCCTCTCAAGTGGGGACCTCAACACCTTGAACCCTAGGAAAGGAACTATGCAAATGCAGGCCACTATCCCCACCACGTCTGTGTTCCCCAGCGTCCCCACGGCCTTCCACACCCTGTGCATAGGCAGTGCTCTCACGTCTTAAGGTCCGAAGCTGGGGCTGGGGCGTCCGTCAGTTATGAGTGGATGGAGATTCCCAGAGCAAGGCTGCATTTGAATGATTTCCTTAGGATGAATGGTCCCTATGCAAAGAGACCCTTCAGTGGGCAAACAGATTCTCCTGGAGAACCCTCCTAAATCCATAGAGTTTTCAAAATGTGAATCTTTGGAAGCCGTGAGTTCAGAATCCGCCACTGTGGCGTATTTCCCTCGGACCTTATCTCAGTCACTTCATTTTTGAGAAGAGCGATGCCTTTGGCATGCTTTTTTCTTTCTTTTTTTAGAAAACAGGGTGTTGAAGTCCAGCCTATTAAAAAACCCCATCATTTGGAGAATTACAAGGGTTTTGTCCTGAATGATACTGTTGGCAAGCCCAAGCCACTGTGCTAACTGCTTTCTGTCCTTGCTATTCCAAGGACAGAAGGAGGAAGTTGGCCAATTACATCGTGTGTGCATGGGTGTGTGTGGGGTGTGCCTCTCAGAAACTCGGCCAGAGGACAAGCAGGGAAGTGAAAGGTCCCAGGCACACCCCCGGGCCATTGCAGGCGGCTCTTCTGGCTCTCTGCTGCCAGCACAGGATCCCTGGAGTGACTCAGCCAGGCAGGCATGAGACATGGCGGAGTGTCTACATGGATCCTTTATTGGTGGCAGAGCAAAAAACCACAAGCAACCTTTTAAAATACTTTTTAAGGATGATATTGGAATGCACTAGCCCTCACCTGTGTCTGCACATTTGCCAGAATATAAGAGTTTTGTTTTAAACACAGTCTTGTTAGGATTTTACGTTATTGTTATGGAAAATGATTGTGATGCTATTTATCTTCGGGGTCACTTTGGGCAAAGAGAAGGTCCTCAGCCATGCCCCCAGCACCGAGCATATAGATGTCTGATAAAAGTTGAAGAAATTAAATGCTTTTTGAGCACCAAATATATATAGGGCATTGTTCTGGTGGGTGTTTCACGCTCCCAGAAGCCTGAATTCAAGGTAGGATCACTTGCAAGGCCTTGTGAAGGAGTCTTACCTAACATGAAGGAAATATCAGGGACTTTTGTTGACTACTTACAACTCAGTTTTACATTTAAGTTCAGGCAGTGTTAACATGCCAAGGTGGGAATGTGCCTTGTTCAGAGTTGGCCAGGAGCTCCTGGCTGGGTCATGGAGAAGCACGTGGGCCGTAAGGCCCCACTCCCAGCTGTGAAGGTCTCTGATCACACAAGAGCAGCCCTGCCCAGCCTGGTCATTTGCTGTCCCCTTTTCTCTGTGACCACAACAACCCTGAACAACTAGGATGTGTCTTCTCCAGATAGTGAAAAGAGCGTCCAGATAGACCCACCTGAGCGACACGGTCGTCCTCTAAACTGGGTGCCTCGCTACACAGCTTCCAGGTAGCCTTCCAGCCTCATCAGACCTGAGCCTCACAGTAACCCAGGAAAGTTAGTAGAGCTTGTTCTTGTATCGTGGCCTAAAAAAAAAAAAAAAAAAAGGAATTGAGGAGGTTCAGAACAGAACCCTTGGTGAAGCAGAGGAGTGACTATAATGATAATACTTTAGCAACATTTCTTTAACTTTGGTTGTTCAGAATGTTTGCAACAGCTAGCTAGCTTGCTTCCTCCCCTCCCCTCCCTCCTCCTCCTCCCTTCCCTTCCTCTTTCCTCCCCTCCCTTCTCCTCCCCTCCCCTCTCCCTGGGTTGTCCAGCTCTATAAGGTGAGATTTCAGGTTGACTGCTCCCTGAGGCTGGATTCTTTCATATGATACTCTCTCAAGAAAGGGGCTCCCTGGCATTTCCAGGTGCACTGCACATGCCCTTGATCCAGCTCCAGAGACGCAAGTAAAGAGGGTGGGTCCCTCATAGGCTCGAATGTGCAGCTCTTTCTCCGGTGGGATGTAGCACCCCTAAGTCAGAGCTTTCTGCTACGCTCCTGGAAGAGGCTAGGGAGCTGGGGCTGGGGCGCCCCTCCCATGCCCAGGCAGTGTTCGCCCCACGGGACAGCCACAGCTGCTTAGGCGAACACAGCAGGTTGGTGTGGCTGGCTAATTAGGACCATTCAAAAGCCTCTGTGGGGGCATGAGGGAGAAAAGGCCATTGGGAAAATTACTGCCTTTACTTTGGAACTACTTTTATGCTGATAACTTGGGATTTCTTGATAGTCCTTCACCCCCCCAAACCCATATTTGCTTAACGAAATTTAGCTCCTAGTTCTTCAAGTAAAAGTCTCTTGTGTAAGCGCCAACACATGCCCAGTTGTGGATGGGAGCTGTCCCTGGACAGCCTTCTACCCCCTGGGAAGTGGTGGAACAGGAACTCAGGGTGCCCCTACCCCCTCCCCAGACCTGATCCCTTTCTTTGACTGACAGCACCATCCAGGCAAAATTAGAGCGCCAAATAGGTTTCTTCTCAATCTTAAAGCAGTATACCTTTCCACAGGCTGGCCTGTCTCCCTGCTACTCTGAGTTATCCAGAAACCGCCACCTACAAATAAGGGGATTCATCTAGAAGACCTCTAAGGTCTCTTTTGGCTCTGAGGGGTCTCTAATAATCCCCACGTGGAATTCAGCACTGTCCGGAAATTATGGGTAATGTGAGTCATAATATGATGGCCAGCAGGTGGCGCTGCCTTCTACCTATGGTGATGGATGGTTCGGAAAGGGAATGTTGGTGCCTTTTGTGCTACTGTTTTAATGGGAAAAAACAAACAAACAAAAAACAAGCACCGACCTTAAATATGAAGATATGAGCTTTTCTTGAAGGAAATTTTCTTTTTCACAGAACTGGTGTCAAGAATCACTGAAGACCCAACAGTGATGATCCTTCCAAGTCAAGGTTTCATCCTGATTGGAAATAGAGGACATTTCATGTTGAGAGAATAGATTGGCTGGAAACTTAACTTTGGTTGCCTCTTACCTCTGCCAGATTTTGGGGTAGTTTGTGAAAGAATGGATTTTCTAGACACAAAAGGGAGAGTTACCAAATTGTTTTTTTAAAGGAAGTTTAATGTCCATTGTATCACAAATCAGTGTTAAAACACAAAAACTGTAGCCAAAATAAATGTCTTACATTACAAAGGTATTGTTTTTTTGTCCTTATAGTTGGATTTTCTTTTACGTTTTTAGGCTTAGTTTTTTGTATGTGTGCTTAGCTTTTATATTTGCTTTTTCTAACTTTTTAAAAACAATCATCTAAAACATAGCTGCATCCTGAGTTAGTTACAGGTTCCATGATGGTCCTGTTTATGCAGCAGATATTGATGAACATCTGTCCAGTACCAGAAATGTTCTTTTAGGAATATTCTTAGGTAGAATGGCCCACCTGCATGAGAGAGGTAAGCTCTGTGCTCCCGGCCAGGTGCGGTGGCTCATGCCAGTAATGCCAGCACTTTGGGAGGCTGAGGAGGGTGGTTCACCTGAGGTTGGGAATTCAAGACCAGCCTAAGAAACCCCGTTTCTACTAAAGATACAAAAAATTAGCCAGGCATGGTGGCACATGCCTGGAATTCCAGCTATTTGGGAGGCTGAGGCAGGAGAATCGCTTGAACCCAGGAAGCGGAGGTTGCAGTGAGCTGAGATCACACCATTGAATTCCAGCCTGGGCAACGACTGAAAATCTCAAAAAAAAAAATTTGTCCTCCTAAGAAAGCAGGGGGCTGGGGTGTTCATCTCAAGGTAGCCTCACGTGATGACTCGGTGGCATTTTGGGATTTGAGTGATCCTGCAAATGTGCAGTCCCCACACATAGCCCCTTCCCCCAGATGCCTTAAATTCTACTATTGATGCTATGTTCCTTTGAATAAAAAATCGTAGAGAAAGTGGGTGCCTTTTCCCTCAGACAGAAGAAGTCTGTGCAGAGAAAGCCCCTCGAGGTTCCCGCTCCCATCTATCACATGAAGCGACTGGACTCACTCACTGTCAGACCTCTGACAACGTAATCTTTATGGTTCTATGTGAAATCTTAGAGCACTAAAATATAAAACAGGTAAAAGTGTTTTTAAAACCATTTTTGTTACAAATAATACTGTATGTACATAGTAATACACTTAATGCAAAAGGCTTATAAGGGAAAGTCACTTGTTCCAAACCTTCAATTTCTCTCTCATAAGTATCTTTCCAGAAAAATCTCAAGCATATATAAGCATACACACGTGCATACACGTGTGTATACAGAGATACCTGTGCTTCGTTGTTTTGCTTAGCTTATATTTTAGTTATTGTTTTTATAGTTCTACCCCATTCATCTTAACAGTTACATAGCATTCCATTATGTATGGATATGCAAATAAAGACAAGGTGATTTGGACATCCTTCAATGCAGGCTACTGCCTAAAAGCAGAAGTTTGCCTTCCCAATCCAGATATTTCCTTTTTATCACCTACCAGTGGGAGCAAAATCTGTTTTAAAATGCAGCCAGTAAAGAGAATCCTCAGTTTCCATTAATTAGAGATGAGGGCCTCCTCCAGAACTGAGTAGAGAATGAAACCAGATGACCTTTGAGGTTCCTTCCAGATCAAAGATTCTATAATCCCAAGAAGTCAAAGGAGCATCATACACTTTCCAAATTTGGCCTGTCTTTCAAAGTCTGGTCCACATGCCACCACATCTTACCATGAGGATCCCAGACCCCCCCCCAGGGGAGAAAGACTGTTCTCTCCTTTGAAGACCCATAAGAAAATTGTCTTTATAAAAAAATGCGTCTGGTGAAGATGTGGAACCGCAGGAACTCTTTGTTTTAGTGGGGAACGCAGAATAGTACAGCCCCTTTGGAGGACAGTTTGCAGGTTAGTTTCCTGCAAAACGAAACATACTTTTACTGCACAATCCAGCAGTCATGCTCCTAGGTATTTATCCAAATGATTTGAAAACTTATGTCTATACAAAAACGTGCACACAGCCAGGCGTGATGGCTCACGCTTGTAATCCCAGCACTTTGGGAGGCTGAGGTGGGCAGATCATTTGAGGTTTGAGACCAGCCTGGCCAACATGGGGAAACCCCTTCTCTACTAAAAATACAAAAATTAGCCAAGTGTGGTGGTGGTCACCTGTAACCCCACCTGCTTAGGAAGCCGAGGCAGGAAGAATCACTGGAACCCAGGAGGCGGAGGTTGCAGTAAACAGATTGTGGCACTGCACTCCAGCCTGGGAGACACAGCGAGACTCCGTCTTCAAACAAAACAAAAAACAAAAAATAAACCCTGCACAAAATGTTTATACCACCTTTATTCATAATTGCCAGAACTTGAAAGCAACTAAGATGTCCTTCAGAAGGTGACAGACTAGAGAAACCGTGGTATGCCAAAAGGTTGGACTATTACTCAGTGCTAAAAAGAAATAAGCTGTTGATGCCATGAAAGGACATAGAGGAGCCTCAAATGCCTTTTACTAAGTGAAAGACACCAATCTGAAAAGACCGTGTGTAGGTATGATTCCAACTCTATATGACATCCTAGAAAAAGCAGAAAGGAAGGTACAGGAAGAAGATCAGTGGTTGCCAGGGGTTGGGGAAAGTTGGGGAGGGATGAACAGGCAGAGCACATATTTTGGACAATGAAAATACCGACCATCCGTGTGACACTGTAATGGTAGGTGTATGTCATTCATTATACATTTGTCCAAAGCCACAGGACATATAACACTAATGCTGGGATGTAAACCACGGACTTCAGAGGATAATGATGTGTCACATAGGTTGATCAATCAGCAAATGCGCCACTCTGGTGGCGGGATGTCAATAATGGGGGTGGCTGTACATGTGTGAGCACAGGAGGTACGTGAGAAGTCGCTGTACTGTCCCCTCAATTTTGCTATGAAGCTAAAACTGCTCCAGAAAAAAAATAAAGTCCTTTTAGAAAAAAGCATCTGAACCTTTTTTCAGTGGCATTGACCAACTTCCACCTCATAGTGTGGTTTGGATGCAGATTTTATTTCTTCCCCGATATGCGAGCTCCTGGAGAGGGAGTGCATGTCTCCCTTGATTTATTAAATGTTTGGCAAGTGAACATAGGAAGAAGCAACTTGATAGAAACAAAAGATAGTAAATCATCACATGGAAAAACAGCTTTTCTAGAAATTGAGGTGCAACTATTCAATTTTTTTAAAAATCGGCTGAGTGCAGTGGCTCCCACCCGTAAGCCCAGCACTTCAGGAGGCCAAGGCAGGTGGATCATCTGAGGTTAGGAGTTCAAGATCAGCCTGGCCAACATGGCGAAACCCTGTTTCTACTAAAAAAAAGTACAAAAATTAGCCGGGCGTGGTAGTGGGAGCCTGTAGTCCCAGCTACTTGGGAGGCTGGGGCAGGGAGAATTGCATGAACCCAGGAGGAGGAAGTTGCGTGAGCCGTGATCAGGCCACTGCACTCCAGCCTGGGTGACAGAATGAGACTCTGTTAAAAAAAAAAAAAAAAAAAAGTCAACAGCCCAAACCCAGTATCAATAGTCTGATTTATGGGTTGAACTGCATTTCTCCCAAATGCATGTATTGAAGTCATAAGGCACAGTACCTGAGAATGTGACTTTATTTGGAAACAGGGCTGTTACAGATGTGATTTGTTAAGATGAGGTCATTAGGCTGGGCCTAATCTGCCTGGCGTCCTTAGAAAAAGGGGAAAATTCAAATACACAGAGAATGCCATGTGAAGATGAAAACAGAGATTGGGGGTAACGCTTCTGCAAGCCAGTGAATGCCAAAGCTTCTCAGCAGCCAGCGGAAGGCAAGTGCAAGGCCTTCCTCACTGTCCTCGAAGGAGCCAACTCTGCCAGCATCTTGAACTCGCACTCTTAACCTCCAGCTCTGAGACGGCTTCTGTTGCTTATTCCACCCAGTGTGTGGTACTGACTGACGGCAGACTCAGCAAAGTGCCACCTATGGGGGCCTCTGTTTTGTGGGTGAGGGCGGGGACCTGGCTGGGTTTTCTGGAAAACAGCCCTGCAATACCCTCATCAGACCCACCAACTCTTCACTCCCTCAGACACAGCATTCACTTCTAGAAATAAATCTAAAGTTTTCTTGTTTTGTTTTGTTTTACTTTGTGGAATACTACTCAGCCAAAAAAAGGAAAAAAAGGAACATGTTACTGATATGTACAACTTGGATAACCCTCTAGGAAATTATGCTGAGTAAAAAAAAATCCCCAAAGGCTACATGCAAATTTATTCCATTTATATAACTTTTTTTTTTTTTTTTAACAGTCTCACTCTGTCACCCAGGGTAGAGTGCAGTGGCTCAGTCTCAGCTCACTGCAACCTCTGCCTCCTGGGTTCAAGCGATTCTCTTGCCTTAGCTTCCCAAGTAGCTGGGACTACAGGTGCGTGCCACCACACCAAGCTAATTTTTGTATTTTTAGTAGAGACAGGGTTTTGCGCCATGTTGGCCAGGCTGGTCTTGAACTCCTGACCTCAAGTGATTCACCTGCCTCAGTCTCCCAAAGTGCTGGGATTACAGGCGTGAGCCACTGTGCGTGGGCGCATATATGTATCATTTTTGAAGTGAAAAAAAATGACAGAAATGGCGATTAGATTAGTAGTTGCCAGGGGTTAGTTGTGGGAGGGAGGGAGATGGGTAACAGAGAAAGACTTGTGGTCACAGAGCTGTGGTTTATATTGGTGGATCCCCAAATTTACACGTGACAAGATTGCATAAGAACTAAGTATACACACATGTGAATGCGTGTGCATGCACAGAGTCCAGGTAACACTG